AAAAAAAAAAAAAAAAAAAAAAAACTGAAAATTTGGAAGTTTGGGGTAAAAAAAAAAACTGAAATTTGATCATATTTGTTATAAAGAGATTAATATGTTGTATATTATTATTATTATATTATTTTGAATGTATTACATGCTTATACAAAAAAACTTGAGTTGATATTTTTGTTTCTGACAAAATCACCTGTACATACTTAATTTTTCTTACATTGTTATGAATTAAAAAAAAATGCATTAAAAAACAAAAATAAAAATGGCAATAGATCAACACTAAATTCCGAACCTACATTTGAATATAGAATAATAACCTGTACATACTTAAATTTTCATGGAATGTTTTTGCGGGATTGTTGGACTAAAATAGAATAATAACATAAAATTAAAATTTTGTTAATATTATAAATATATGAAATTACCACTAATTTTAATATAAATGTTATCTTGTTCCTTGAAATGTGTGCTAATAGGCTCAACTTTTGCCTATAAAAAGGCATCTTCAGCTTTGTATAATTTGCACGAAAAAGAGAAAGAAGAATAGTACCTTATAATTTTGATCCGGTTTTTACATTGTGTTCTTTATTTTCATCGCATTTCATAACACGTTATCAGCACGAGCGCTCTACCCGGTCAGAAAGGTAGGAATATAATGATATATATACATATTACTATTATTCTTGACAAGTTAGGCTCTGCCACAGTCAAAGATATATATACATATTACAATTATTTTTGACAAGTTAGGCTCTGCCATAGTCAAGGATATATATACATATTACTATTATTTTTGTCAAGTTAGGCTCTGCCACAGTCAAAGATATATATATTACCATTATTCTTGACAAGTTAGGCTCTGCCACAGTCAAGATATGTATACTTAATATGATATTATCTACACGTTACTATTATTATTGGCAAATTAGGCTATGCCATAGTCAATAATATGTGGTGATATGATATTATTAAATTTGCTTATGAATTATTTTTCATGTTGTAATAAATGTTATTATTTATACTTAACACCCATAAAAATGGTTTACCCAATAAAGTGGCGTGAAATTTATAACTGTTTATTCTTGTACTCACTGTAAAATTTATCAAATAATGTGGAGCATTTCTTTACTTGCTTTTGTATTCACGAAAATGTTCATCAAATAATTCGGAAAAATCTTTTAAGGTAATGTACATGATTAATTAGAATTTTATGATCATAAATAATTAATTAGCAAATATTATACCATTAAATTTGTTTCCAACGGCTAGTTAACGGTTATACTGTAACGGCTATTTACCAATATCTATATATAACACTACAATTCATTTTCATAATCCAAACACTCAAAATACATTGTTTTAAGAAAAAAAAATGTTTGATCCATTACTTATAATTACCATTATCTTGTTTATTATATACGTTTGCTAATTTTCACGATGATGTATCGTACTGTTGGATTTAAATTTTATGTATTAAGTCTTTGTATAATGTGTTTAGTATTTGCTCTTGTGTACGTATTGAAGAATTAATGATTGTATATGTAATTTTTTGAATCTAAGGGCTGATGGTCGTAACCGTGGGATCTTCTCCAAAGTGTATTGTTGTTTTATTTTATAGTTAATTATCATGGCAAATCTGGTCAAACTCGAATTTGAAACTCTCGATATATATGGGAAAAATTATATCTCATGGACATTGGATGCCGAAATTTATTTGGCGGCAAGGGTATTGGAAAAAACAATAATATCCCTAAATGATTCATCAATACAGGATAAAGCTAAAGCAATGATATTTCTGAGGCATCATTTGAATGAGGCATTGAAAAATGAATATTTAACTGTTAAAGATCCTGCAGATCTCTGGAAAGCCTTGAAAGAAAGGTATGATCACCAGAAAACGGTGATTCTCCCCCGGGCGCGTTATGAATGGATGCATTTACGCTTCCAAGATTTCAAAACTGTAAACGAGTACAATTCAGCCATGTTCCGCATTTGCTCGGTATTAAAATTATGCGGAGAAAACATAACTGATTACGATATGCTGGAAAAAATGTTGTCCACGTTCCACGCCTCAAATGTACTATTGCAGCAACAATACAGAGCAAAAGGCTTTGTAAAATATTCTGAGTTAATTTCTTGTTTGCTGCTGGCTGAACAAAATAACGAGTTGTTGATGAAAAATCATGAATCTAGACCTACGGGGTCTACTGTGGTCCCTGAAATAAATGTTGTAATATCTAAACAGAGAACCGGAACTGAAAACAGCCAAACATATGTGCGTGGATATACCTCGGGACGTGACCGGGGTCGTGGACGTGGACGTGGCCGTGGCCGTGGATATGGTCCAGATCGCCGATTTGACCAAATCCACAAATTTCACCGAGGGTATAACTCAGGCCGGGGATATAATCGTGGGCGAGGCCGTAATTATGCCCAAAATTATGAAAGGGGGAGAAATTTCCAGCCAAAATTTGAACAGAATAATGTGACGGAGAATAATGATGAAAAGGCATGTTATCGATGTGGAAAGACGGGACATTGGGCACGCAATTGTCGTGCCCCGAGACAAGTTGTTGATAATTATAACAATTCCCAGAAATCGAAAGATAAAAATATTGAAACCAATTTTATGATTGGAGAATCTTCTGGGAATGATTCAACACGTGTGGATGATGAAGATGGCATCGATGACATATTGAACCTGGACTTTGCCGATGCGGTAGTTGAAGATCGAGCTAGAAATGACCAAGAAAATAACTGATAATCATGTTTTTATTGCTTTCTTAGTTTTGTTGTATTGGTGTGCTTTTATCTGTATTCCGATTTTAATCAATAATAAATGTTGTTTTTCTTTTAGATCATGGATCGATCTCGAATGCAAAATAGAGATATATGTCTTGCAGATTGTGCAACTACTCATACTATACTCAAGGACCGAAAATATTTCGTCAACTTGAAATTAAATAAAGCAAAGGTAAACACAATATCCGGAAATGCAAAGATAATTGAGGGTTCTGGAAAAGCCATATTTTTTATGGCGGGAGGTACAAAATTTACATTGAATGATGCATTATTCTCCCCAAAATCAACAAGAAATTTGTTGAGTTTTAAAGATATCCGAATGAACGGATACCATGTTGAAACAATGAATAAAGGGGGAGTTGAATATCTTTGCATTACCTCAAATTTTGCGGGAAATAAATGTGTTTTGGAGAAATTGCCAGCTTTATCCTCGGGCTTATATTACACCCGCATTCATATTATTGAGACTTATGCTGCAACAAAGTCACAGGCGAATGAAATGTTTAAACTTTGGCATGATCGACTTGGTCACCCTGGCTCAATAATGATGCGAAGAATTATTGAAAATTCTAGTGGGCATCCATTAAAAAATCAGAGGATACTGCAAACACATGAATTGATGTGTGCCTCATGTTCTCAAGGGAAATTGATAATAAGACCATCACATACTAAAGTCGGACATGAATCACCATTATTTTTGGAAAGAATTCATGGTGATATATGTGGACCTATTCATCCACCTTGTGGCCCATTCAGATATTTTATGGTGTTAATTGATGCCTCTAGTAGATGGTCTCACGTGAGTTTGTTATCCACTAGAAATGTGGCATTTGCTAAATTGTTTGCCCAACTTATCAAATTAAGGGCTCAATTCCCAGATTATATTATAAAAAGGGTCAGACTTGACAATGCTGGAGAATTTACATCTCAAGCATTTAATGATTATTGTATGGAAGTGAAAATTGATGTTGAACATCCTGTAGCACATGTTCACACTCAAAATGGTCTAGCAGAATCATTGATTAAACGACTGCAACTTAAAGCCAGACCATTGATAATGAGGACAAAACTGCCCACTTCAGTATGGGGACATGTTATTCTGCATGCAGATAATCTAATTCGCATAAGACCAAGTGCACGCCATACATACTCGCCATTACAGTTGGCATCTGGTCGAGAGCCAAATATTGCACATATGAGAATTTTTGGTTGTGCAGTATATGTACCAATTGCTCCGCCCCAACGTACGAAAATGGGGCCTCAAAGAAGGTTGGGAATATATGTTGGATATGAATCTCCATCAATAATAAAATACCTTGAGCCAAAAACAGGTGATGTTTTTACAGCTCGGTTTGATGATTGTCATTTTAATGAAGAATTATTTTCTCCTTTAGGTGGGAATGAAAAGTCAAATGAAAGAAATATTGAATGGAGAACATCATCACTATCGTATCTTGATCCTCCCACCAAACAAAGAGAGCAAGAAGTTCAAAAGATCATACATCTGCAGAATATTGCAAATCAATTGCCAGATGCATTTACTGACACAAAAAGGGTGACAAAATCACATGTTGCAGCTATAAATGCCCCTGCTCGAATTGAGATTCCAAAAGAAATGGCAAATGACAATGTGCCAAATGAATTAAAGGCACGATTGAAACGAGGAAGACCAGTGGGGTCTAAAGATAAGAATCCTCGAAAGAAAGAGAAATTCAAGATTCGAATTTGAAAAAGAATCAAGATGATGGAAAAATTTTGGAACGAAATGAAAATATTAAAATCTCCATCAATTACGTAAATAATGGGAAGCTTTGGAAGCGTGATGAGATCATTGTTGATGTATTCGCATATATGGTATCACAAGAAATTGATAAAGAAGTTTAGGATCCTGAACCAAAGTCTATGATTGAATGTCAGAAAAGACATGATTGGGACAAGTGGAAAGGTGCTATTCAAGCCGAGTTAAATTCGCTTAATAAACGAAAGGTTTTTGGACCTATAACCATTATACCCAAAGACATAAAACCTATTGGGTACAGATGAGTTTTTGTCAGAAAAAGAAATGAGAAAAATTAGATCACAAGATATAAAGCTCGCCTTGTAGCACAGGGATTCTCCCAGAGGCCTGGGATCGATTATGATGAAACATATTCCCCTGTTATGGATGCAATTACTTTCAGATACTTAATTAGTTTGGCCATCCATGAAAATCTTGAGATGCGTCTCATGGATGTTGTGACTGCTTACTTATATGGATCGCTTGACGCTGATATTTATATGAAAATTCCAGAAGGAATTAAAATACCCGAGGCGCTAAAGTCCAAACCTAAAGAGTTATGTGCGATAAAACTGCAAAGATCGTTGTATGGCTTAAACAATCCGGGCGTATGTGGTATAATTGTTTGAGTGAACAATTACTAAAACGGGAATACATAAATAATCAAATATGCCCGTGTGTTTTTATAAACAGATCACAAGATGGAGTTGTGATAATTGTTGTCTATGTCGATTATCTTAATATTATTGGGACTACAAATGAAATCCAAGAAGCAGTCACTTTACTAAAAGGCGAATTTGAAATGAAAGATCTCGGACAAACCAAATATTGTCTCGGCTTGCAAATAGAACGAGTCCAAAATGGGATATTTGTCCATCAATCTAATTACACTAAAAGAATACTGAAACGATTCAATATGGACAAGGCGAATCCACTTAGTACCCCAATGGTCAATCGGACATTAGATGTTGAAAAGGATCTATTTCGACCTTGTGATGAAGATGAAGAAATACTTGGTCCTGAAATACCATATATGAGTACAATAGGGGCTCTTATGTATCTTGCTAATTGCACCAGACCAGATATATCTTTTGCTACCAACTTGTTGGCGAGATATAACTCAGCACCTACAAGGAGACATTGGAATGGAATTAAGCATATATTCCGTTATCTCCAAGGGACAATCGATTTGGGACTGTTTTACTCTAATGACAAAAAACATGAAATAATCGGTTTTGCAGATGCAGGATATCTATCAGACCCCCATAAAGCAAGATCTCAAACCGGCTATGTTTTCACTATTGGTGGAACTGCATTTTCTTGGCGCTCCCAGAAACAAACATTAGTTGCGACGTCTTCAAACCATGCTGAGATCATTGCACTTCATGAAGCAACTAGGGAAAGTATCTGGCTCAGAAACATGACCCAACATATTCAACAAGCCAGTGGACTATCGAACAATAATGACCCGACGGTGATATACGAAGACAATGCAGCATGTGTAGCTCAAACGAAAGAAGGATACATTAAGAGTGACAGAACTAAACATATCCCGCCAAAGTTCTTCTCATATGCGCAAGAGCTTGAAAGAAACAAACAAAAGTTCAATACATTCGATCAAGCGATAATGCAGCTGATTTGTTCACGAAGGCGCTTCCGACGACAATGTTTCGAAAGCACGTACACAACATTGGAATGAGACATCTTCGGGATTTGCACAGATGATAACTCGAGGGGGAGTATGTGCGGCTGTACTCTTTTTTCCTTATCTCGGTTTTTTCCCACAGGGTTTTTCCAGATAAGGTTTTTAACTAGGCAGCATAAACGCACATTTTATAGTGGTAATTCCAAGGGGGAGTATTATAAATATATGAAATTACCACTAATATTAATATAAATGTTATCTTGTTCCTTGAAATGTGTGCTAATAGGCTCAACTTTTGCCTATAAAAAGGCATCTTCAGCTTTGTATAATTTGCACGAAAAAGAGAAAGAAGAATAGTACCTTATAATTTTGATCCGATTTTTACATTGTGTTCTTTATTTTCATCGCATTTCATAACAGTTAACATATTTTAGAGAAATAAAATTGGAAGTAATTGATAAGAGATTCGCATACTAAATTAAATTTCCAGTAGTCAATGGTTTCTTTGAATATTAGAACTTAATTTTGACTTAAAAATTTCTAAAGATGTTCGAGCGCGATTTTCAAAAAATTTCGAAAAAAAATTACTTATTTTAGTAAATCTGAAGTTTAGGCGGGAAAATAGTTAATTTTAAAGGTAAATGTCAAACTTTTTTATATTTATATAGATATAGATTAATAATGGACTTAATGTAAAGATTTTTTCTTTAAAATAAACCGCCGAATGTAAAAATATGATTGGAAAGATTAATATTGATATAAACACAAATTTGTAAGATAAATATTATTTTAACATCCCGATTTATTTTCAAGATAAAAAAAAAATAAAGATTGTTAAAATGATCTGCAACATGAACAAAATTTATTTACCATTTTGAAAGATTCACCCGATTTATATAACAATATAAAAAAAATATCCGATTTATACCAACTCCTTAAAAAAATAAAGAAATATCCAATTCCTACCAAATCGATTAAAAAAAAGAAAATAATTCAAATATACGTCCAAATAAATTACAATTGAAATGTAGGCAAGATTATGAAAAAAAAATCAAAAAACTCTACCGAAGAAAGTAAGAAAACGAAGAAAAAAAAAGCGGGAATATTAAGCGGGAAAACGGAATAATTTTTTTTCGAGTTTTTTTGGATAATTTCTTTTAGCCGTATTATATAGTAAAAGATGTGAAAGATATGTGAAGGGACATTGATCAAACGTTGACGGATATTTATCATCTACCTATGAATTGTGACAATTTGGGCCTCATTATTTGAAAAAATATATGGGAAAAATACATAACTAACCCAATTATGAACAAGAATTCCATAAAAGTGCTTGAATATATTGATTTACAAAAATACTCCACCAAGGAGTCAAAAATACACCAACAAGGAGTTACAATAATTCAAAATTCTAACTGCCTTCTTTCTCTCTTTTCCTTCTCACTCCCACACTTCTCGTTAACTGCCTTCTTTCTCTCTTTTCTTCCAAACATGAATGCCTAAAGAAATAAAACAACAACAAAAAATTAATCAATTTGTTATCTACATAATAATTAAATCAATTAAAAAACAACAGAAACCTTTGTTAAATTAAAGTAACAACAACAATAACAATAAAATAGAATACATACACACAAATTATAACCAAGATGATGCGAAGAACTAAAAAACATTTGATGTAACAACAACACAATAACATAACAACAACAAATAAGCAACATGCAAATAGCATATCAACAATAAATGAGCAACATGAAAATAACTGTTACTGCATAACAATTCAAAATCCGAAGCCCCTTTGCAGATAGTTATAACTATTACTGCATAAGCCTTGGATTAAAATGCACCATGTATGATTTGTGATTAAAATGCCCCATTGATGATTTGATGAACTAAAATGCTAAGAAGACCAATTGATGTTGGGCTGAGCCCAGTAAGAGACATATCAATTGGGAGACTCATGATTGATTAGTTGAAAAGATTAATTTATCTTTTTCTGCAAAGAGAGGTTTAGTACAGGTGGGGGGAGAGAATATGCTGCTATTTAACAATGGAAAAAACACAAATAACAATATGAAAACAAAAATCTCGATAATTCCTTCTCTCGTTTGTAGAAAAACTTTGCGAAAAATAGATTTTAAAGAAAGAGAATATAAGATTTGTCTTTATTTCCATTTTCTTCCTCAAAACACCCGAATTTCAGCCGCCATTAATGTGACGGAAGTTGTTCGACACCATCTCGCTGTAGCCGGCTGCTCATCCGCCCTGGCCATCCACTCACTCATGCTTAGTCACCAGTTGGTCCCTCCGCCATCAATCTCCGCTTGAGAACCGGTCAACCGCGCACAACCGTATTGGAGCGTCAATCTCGACGACGTCAATTTCATTGAATGTGACAAATTTGTTGCCATGAAATTTTCTGCTCGAAAAATTCTTTTCACGGATGGTTTCGAATATGAATTTGGGAAAAGATTTTGAGATGTGAATTTGGGATTTTTTTT